TTCTCCTGCTATATATTTAAACATTCTTGGTAAATTCCCAAGAATCTGCCATGTTATTGGTCCTAACCTGGCATCTCGTCTTCATTCATTTTCACACCGATGTAATGTATCTTCCCTGATGCTTTTCTATAGAGACTTTCGTGGTAATTGTTCTGGTGAACTTTCCTCTATGGTACATAGACTTAAGGAGTTTAAGCGTAGTATTAGAATGACTGCAAGGTCTTCTCTTTTTACAGTTGAAATAGCTAGATGTAACCGTAAGTTCTATGCTAACAGTTTCTTCTCTCGCATAAGATTCACTTATTGGCGTCTCGGCTTCAGTCACTTTCCTACCAGCATTCTATAGAATTCTTGTGTCTTCCTTTAAATCAAAACATGCTAATTCCTCTTTTCACTATGTTACATAGACTTTATGGATGTAAGTGCAGGACTAGATTGGTGGCAAGGACTCATCCTTTTACATTTGAAATGGCTAGATATAACCGTAAGTTCTATGCTAACAGTTACGTCAAAAGCACTTCTAACTTTAGGAACTCGTTACCGGCTTCTTCCTTCTCAGTTAGCATTGATCTTAAATATTTAAATGTAATGTCAATCATTATCTTATCTTTTTAATTTTTTAAAATTATTTTCTCTCCTTAATAGTAATTTTATTTTTTTCTTATACTCTATAACACTCAGTAACACCTTGCTACTTATTAGTTTTATTGCCCTTGGAGTGAAATGATTTTTAAAAAAATGCCCCAGGAGACACGTCTACGATATTTCCACATGGTAAAGGAATCCGTGGAAATTCCTGATCGCCTATGCCCTGAAGAGATATGTCATTAAAGAAGCAACAATACAGCTAAATCGATGCAAACATTTTTTTTGTTGGAGGGGGGGGTCTATTCTGCTGTTTCTGAATAAACAATCTTCTAAATTCCTAAATTTCACTGCAACTTGAAAAATGTATGAGCACATTACTGAATGGCGGGTCGAAATGGCAAATTCATAAACACAAGCAATAACTTTTCGAAAATTAATTTTCTAAATGAATTTAATCCATCATTGCTGACAAGACTGTTTGAATATATTTGAAGGGACAATACGTAGAATTACCCAAGGAAAGCAATCACTTATTTCAATGTACATGTATTTAGAATTTATTCTTTTTTTTTTTTGTATATTTGTATAATTGTCAGGTTTTGAAAATTATTTCCATGTTTTGATTTTGTTTGTTATGATATTTTATTATGATTTAGGAAATAATTATAAACTGTGCATAGATACGTAAATATATAACAGATAATACAACCAATATATATAAGATAAAATAAACATACGAAGAACAATAGAAAAACTGAAAAATATTGCAAAATGTACAAATAGTATTTTTTCAGACATTGAATAACTATGATTAAATCATAACTACAGTTATTGTCAGAGAACCTAGGGTAAATATATTTTTGCACTTATTGACACAGTAGCTGTTGACACAACAATAATTAATCATTGCTTGAATATCTGTCAAAGACGAGGTTTATATTTATAGAATACTTAACGTTCTTTTTATAAATCTAAGTTTTTATTCAAAGCGTTATGACCGCTTTAAACACCGATCGTTTGCTATGTCTATAGCATTTATTTAATTTCTTAAAATGTTGAAAAGAACACTTCATTGCCATGAACGTGATTATATTCTCTCTTTCTTTTTCTTTGCCAAACCGATGTCTCTTGCTCCAGAAATTCCTGAAATTGTTTCATCCATTTTTTTCTCTATTCAAAAGTTCCACTGAACTGACGCATATTTTTCGGCACTTATTGAAATCAGGAATTTAAAATAGAATTAAGCTAACGTTAGAGATGAATTTATTTATTTTAAATGCGTTAAAGTGATTATTAAGATGGAATAGTTTGATGCTTTTTTGTTATTTTATTTTTTGGAAAGCAATTGATAAAAATATTAATGGTTACCAAAAAGGAGATGATCATCAGATTTATACTATTACAATAATCCAATTTTAGTTTTGTTTGGTGTTTGTTACCGTAAATAAGGATAAATATTATTTCACATCAGCGCAATATATTTAACGGCAATACCGTCTAAATTCTCTTGCCTGATAAGAACATTGTTATCAAATCCTGTCACTGGTTTCAAATTACAGAGAAATAGAAATAACAGTTAGACAGGGGTGTGTCTTCTCATCAGATTTGTTCAAACTTTACGAGGCGATGAGAATTGAATGTCCTTCTATGATTAATTTCTGGTGGACATAATATTAAAAATATAAAATATGCCGATGACACAGTTTTCATAGAAGAAACAGAAAGCAAATCGAGGGAAATCCTAGAGAAGTTAGTAAAAGAACGCTAGAAGATAGGGAAAATCATTTGTAAGAAAATAGAATGAATGGTTGTTAGCAAGAGGAAGAGCCCAAAATATGAACTTGGAACTGAAGTTTTTGAAATCAAGCAAGAACAAAAATTGAAATATATAAGAAGCGATCAATCTGAAGCCGGAAACTGTGAAACTGAAAACTGAAGGTCCATTGGAATAGGGAAAGATGCCTTCCAAAAGTTAAAAAAATATATTAAGGAACATGAAAATTTCCTAAGAAACAGAAAAAAATAGTGCTGTTCTGCTATAAAATAACAGTCCTCTAATATGGCAGGTGTTGTTTGATAATCTACTTATAGCTGAAGAACAGACTTGAGCTGAAAGAAATGTACTTCTAGAGCAGGATGCTGAGAATACTATAAATTGAGTATGTGAATAACATATGGGTTTTAATTAAAAACTAAACAAAGAGAATGCTTACGTTTAGAATCCGAAAATTTCTGTTGAACTTTGGAGGATACCTAATGAGGAAAGAAGATGTGGAGAAACTGACGCTCACATGACTTAAAGAAGATGGGATAGCTAGGAGAAACAGCAACGAAATTGTTTGGCAGAACAGAGATTGGGAGAGATAACGAAAAGAAAAATCTTAAAATGCGCTACAATGGAGAGTATGTCGTGGCAACAAGTTGGGGAAACAAAGAACAAAGCATATATATGTAGAAGAAAAGAAGGTGGAATGTAACGCCATAACGTCAGACCTATTAATTACATCTAGTTTCATTTTAACCACCTGCTTAGTCAGCTAGAATGGTATACTTTGGTAGTTAAATAATAATTAAAATATTAATAAAATATAGTTCTTCTTTTATGTGACGTGTCCCTTCAGGACGTAAGTGATTATGGCCCTCAACATCTTCCTACCCCTTGTAGCTCTTAATATATTTTGTCTTTTTGTTATCTCTCCCAGACCCTCTTCTGTCATCAATTTGCCCATGTCATGCGTTGCTTTCTTCTGTCCCCTTTTCCCTCTATTCGCCCTGTGAGTATCAGATATACCAAACCCTCCTTCTTTATTACATATCCAAGAAATCTGATCTGACTCTTCCTGATGGTAAATATGTTTCCTCTTTGATTACATTCTCTCCAAAACCTCGTCGTATTTCACATGTTCGGCCCATGGTATCTGAAGCATCCTTCTGTAGAACCAAATGTCTATTACCTCGAGTGTCTTTTTCAACACTGAGGAGATTGTCCAGCATTCGCTACCATACAGAAGCCAAACTTTCTTGTCTCTTAAATACTGTTTAGTTTTTGGAATGCGTCTTCCCAGATATTTAAATTTCTGTATCTGCTTGATATTAATATCCCTGTCCTGTAATTTGTGGCTTGGACTCATCTTTTTGCCGATAACCATGTATTCTGTCTTATTGTTGTTTATACTTTTTTCCTTCCTCTCGCTCTCTTTCGCTAACTTAAGTAGGATATTTTGTGGTTTCCTTTCCATGTCTGCTATCAGCGCTGTGACGTCTGCATATCGTATATTGTTAAGATTCTGACCGCCAATGATGAATCCTAATAGGATTTCTAGTTCTCTCAGAATTACGTCGCTGTATAGTTTGAATAAATTCAGTGAAAAGACAAAACCTTGTCTTATACACTTTACTATTTTTGTATATCTGCTGAACACATTTTTTATCCGCGTGCAGGCAGTTTGCTGCTAGGATAGGTTTTTCATTATTCTAATGCCATTATAAAGTATGACAATGTTGCTGAACTGCTCTAACAGATTTTTGTGGCGTACTTTATCGAACGGCGTCGCGTAATCAATAAGACAGAGGTACATATCTTTATGCATTTGTATTGCTCTTTCTGATAACATTATGAGCATAAATATCGCGTTTCTTGTTCAGGTCTCTTTGTCGAACCTGCACTGAACTTGTCCTTTTTCTCTGGTGCTGATTCTGCTGCACGCTGTATTCATCAGAATCTGGATGATAATTTTTGTTATGTGGCGCATTAAGCTGTTTGATATTAGTGATCTATAATGGTCGCAAATCATTATAAAATAAACTTAATACATTGTAAGTGATTTAAAACGAGTGAGGTCACAGAAGGTGTTATTTAAACCGTTATCAAATAATGGTGATTTTATTTTGAATAATACTAAAATAAAATGTCAGATTAAGAGCTAAGAACCGTTAAAAATACATGGATCCAACTGTCAAATAAAAAAGAAATCACTTTCGGTATGTGATAAAATTCGTATGCATCAAACAATTCATGCTATCTTTCAAACAGAACAATTTAACATTTCAGAAAACCATTATATAAAATCCAGTGAAAATCAAGTCTTACACTGAAAACTAAAAACAAAGTGAAGCTTAACTTATTTAACAAGAATTACTTGAAAAAAAAAAAAAAAACAACGAAAATTTGGCAGAAAGAAAATAGATATATCTTCTGATAGTCTCCAATAAGGTTTTGAAGAAAGAACGACCTCATGGGATAAGTTTCAAAGTAAAGAAAAAAAAGATGAAAACCAGAAATGTAAAAAAAAGAAAAAAAAAGGATACTAGTAATGTAAAAAATAAATTTAAATAAATAAAAAAAAGAATAGAATTAAAAAAATAGAAACACAAACCAAATGAATATACAAAACAGTAAAAAAAAAATGTACCCAATGAAGAAAAGAAAAAATAAAAACATAAAGAAAACAATAAAATAAAGACGAAAGAAACAAATAAAGAAATGAAAAGAGAAAGAGAAGTGACAGAGAATAGAAAATAAAAAGAAAAAAGAAAACTGAGTATAAGAAAAAAGGTACCGGAAACAAAAGACGGACAATAAATAAAAAGGAAATAAAAAAAGAAAAAAAAAAAAATAGAAAACTAAAAAAAAAAGGATGAATAAAAATAAAATGAAAATAAAAGAAATAAAAAGAAACAAAAACAAACAAGTGCATGATCTACGAATCCTTAGAAATGGGTAATTTGAAACACTGATCTCTGCATTCTACATTTAGATCAGACCTTTCTTTTCTCTTTTCATTACTATTTGCTTGCTTTGAAGTTTTTTTGATGACATCTCGCGGGTTCTAAAGAGAGCATGCGTACTGATGTTCACTAGCATATCAAGGGGAAAGAAAACGTAGAAATCGTGCGCGCATGCGCGTGCCAAAATGCTCGCCCGTTATCTCGATTTGGCCTCGCTCCGAAGCAGTGGTTTTCGTCGAGCGTTTTCCGTGAAATCAGACGAAATCTGTCCGCTGGGTTCGGAGCGTCTAGAGATTGGGTGAGATAAGGAAAAGCACAAGTCAATTTTAATGAGTAATTTCGAGTTGTTTACCGCAGAGAGCAAAAGTGAGCGATGCTGACTGGTTTCTGGCCAGCCTAATAGAGAATCAACCTTATTAAGTTGGCTGCGAGCCGAAGAGTGTCTACTACAAAAGGCATCGTGTCCATTGAATGATCATTGGCCAAAGACAAAGGGATGCGATGATCCATTAGTCACATGTGTTTGCCAAAATTGTCAAAGAAAAAGGCTGCATTAGGATTATGAAAATAATGAACATACATACATATATATATATATATATATATATATATATATATATATATATATATATATATATATGTATGTGTGTGTACGTGTGTGTACATGTCTGTGTGTACGTGTGTGTATGTGTGTGGGTGTGTGCTATATTTATGGGTTAAGGTACTCACTATCATAGATAAAGCGTATAATACACTATACTTGAAAAGTTTGATGTAACCCCTGGTAATTTTTGAATTGGCCAAAAATGTATTTGTTTATTTATTCATTAAAAAAAATTATTATGTCAGAAATAAAAAAGTATTTTACGGTTAAAATTTTCTCTCCCTAAAATATCATTCTGATTACAGTGGCACAAATTTTGGGCATTCGTTGTAAAAGTTTCACAAAGTATAATTTTGATAAATGAAACTATTTTTTTTTCAATGAATCTAAGAGCCCTTTTTCTTTCGTTTTTCTTTCGTTTTTCTTTTTATCACTGTTCTGCCAAGATCATTCCATGTTAAGGTATGGCTGCACACTTTCAAAATCTAATGTAAATATAAAAGTGTACGTTGATTGTTTAATGCTAAACGCCATCTTCAGGCCATATATATATATATATATATATATATATATATATGTGTGTGTGTGTGTGTGTGTGTATAATTGTGTATTTAGGAAAAAACCTTCTTTTAACCTTCATTAATGACGACAGACAAAGTACTACGATTAAGCTTTTTTTTATTTAATTGTTTGTTTTTTTTTTCTTGACACAGGGTGTGTAGAAACTGTTTAAATGTCCTGTAATTCCGAGCGCTTTCGGCTGTACCTTTAGCCATTATAAAAGATGATTTTATTTTTTTTTAATTTTTAATTAGGTGTTTGGGTTGTTTGTATGTATCTGCAGTTATAAGGCTGTTTTATTTTCCAAAACAGTTAGCATATTGTGACTGTGTTCGTAGTTAATAATATTGAGTGTTGGCTTTTTCATTTTTATTATTAAGGCTTCCATTATTTTTTACTTTTGGATGAGGTTATTATGTTTGCATTTTTTACTCGTATGTTTCAGCTTTGTGTCAGGTAAATTAGTGTGTGTATGTGTGTGTGTGTTTATATGTGGACGGATAGGTTTAATGTAAGGCGTCTGGATAGGCATGTAGTAGTATGAGATATAATTATTTATGAATTCGGTTTAGTTTAGTTTGGTTTACGGCATATCAACCACCAGGTGTTATATCATTCAGACAATTTTTATTTTTTATTCAAAAAATTTATTGCTGGCAATAATTTCTCTTCAAAAAGTCATCGCTGTTAATAATTTTTATAAGTATTTATGTTATTAAAACCCATGTCTACACCTGCACAGACCCCTGACACCAGCCCGGGGACCAACCACCTACCCACAATTGGGACCCCAACAGGTGCCACCACCCCGGGTGAGCGCAGACCTGGGAACACGAGCAACCTAGAGGTGATTCCACGCTCTTAAAAACCTCCTGATCAGAAGCCTTGCTGTCGGGTGTCGTTTATCGTATTACACAGGTTTGAGCAAGAAAAAAGAAATAAAAAGATTAATCGCAATACCTTGTCTATCGTCTTTAATGAAATATATATATATATATATATATATATATATATATATATATATATATATATATATATATATATATCAGTTGATGATTAGTAGGGATAATTCCAAGGAAGATATAAAGATGGGCTAAATGTAAAAACAGAGCAATATAATAATGAATACTGTGTGGAAAGTAAAAAAAGGTCAATTTCTTTTCTTTCTATCTCTCAATCTCTTTCCCTTTGCCCTTCCCATGTATAACGTGCTTCCTCGTCCCCCTAAAAAGCCTTATATTGAAACATCTATCTTTCACCTCCATTTTTTGCTTTTTTTTTTAATCCCTTTTAATATCAAAACTTTTCCTTTTTCCCTTTTCTCTCTATTCTTTTTTCTTATTTTTCTTTTCGGTGTGTGGGAAATAAATTGAAATCCATTTATTTTTGTAAAACTGGTCTGAAGAGATGGATGTCTGATGTGAAGGAAATAAATTAATACCTGAACGAATGGATTTTTAAGGACTCTGTATTCATTATATATATTTTTTTCTAATTTCTTTTGAATTCGGAGGTCTGATGAATTGGATAGTGATTACGATTCCAATGTTATAAATTATAACCATGGCATATTAGTGTTGGAGCCTTTTATAGCATATATATATATATATATATATATATATATATATATATATATATAGAAAGAGAGAGAGAGAGAGAGAGAGAGAGAAAGAAATAAAGGATTAATGGATTACAAGTTTAAATCTTCATTTTTAATTAATAAAAATATGTTGATTAAAATGATATCTATTAATTCTTTAGAAACGTTTTGTTTACGTTTCAGATACGAAACTGAGCAGATATGCATTGCTAGAGAATCTGAACGATTGAATGTGCTTGAAAGTCAAATATAACATGACCTGATTGTGAAGCTTTTTGTTATCGAGTGGTCAAGCCTCCTTTTTATGTGCCGTGTCCTTTCAGGGCGTAAGCGATCATGGCTCTCCACTTCACCCTATCTCTTGTAGCTCTCAATAAATTTTGTCCCTATATCACCCCCCCCGCATCAGATTCTGTCATCCACTTGCTTCAGCGCACCAGGTATGTCAAGCGTTGTTTTACCTTGTCTTTCTTTCCATCTATTCGACCTGGAAGTATCAGATTCTATAGGCTCTCCTTCCTCATTACCTGTCCCAGAAATTTCATCGGCCTCTTTATAATGTTAAGTATAAGCCTCCTCCTTGTTAGCCTCCTCTCCAAAACCTCACCCTTGCTCACACGCTCTGTCCATGATATCCCCAGCATCTTTCCGTAGAACCACATCTCCGTCGTCTCGAGTCTCTTCTTCCTCTTTGAGGAGACCGCCCAAAATTCGCTGCCGTAAAGGAGGACTGATGTCACGTAATACCTCAACACTCTTCTCTTTGTTACCAAAGAAATCCCCCAGTTTCACAATACTCTGCACAGCTTTGTTTTTTCTGATGTAAAACCATGTCTTATCTGCAAAACGTTTCAATAAATATCCATTATACATAATTTGATGTAAGAATAAAATACAAAAACCAGTTAGCTGCATTTCATTGGGCTCTATACAATGTGATATACAAACGTGAAATTATTCTAGAGAATGTAAAGCTTAGTCTATTATATGGACTGATCAATGCTTAAAGTAGTTGTTCATCACATTGATCCATCTGATTTGCAGGTGAACAGGAGTAAAAGCTCTAATTACGAAAAGTAAATTTCTAATTCGATAATCTCCACTACTTTTTTTTTTATTATTTCTCTTTTATTGCTTCATGCATTGTCATTTTGAAATCCTGAATCCAGTATATATTTTTCATAACGGAATAACAGATACACCCCCGAACTTCTGATAAGCTGGAACACATTGGTGCATTTTCTCAAAGGAAATAACAACAAGTGTTGTTTTTGTTTTTTCGTTCTTTTTTTTTCCTGGAGAAGATACGGAACCACAAAATTTGAAAACTGTATAAGCTTCGAGTATTCGAGTTTTTATAGCATAAACATAAACGAAAAACAATCGAATTTAATGTAAATTACAGCATAATTATACGATATTCCTTGGGGGAGGTTATCTTTTTTACAGGCATTCTTATGTTTTTGTTTATTTCATCCATTAAAACCTTCTCCTGCATTGGTTTATATAGTTATTGTTTCCCTGTGTAATAAAGATTCGGCGCATTAGGACGGAACTTTAATTGGGAGCTCGGTTAGCAGATATTATCAGTTAATAACTTAATTCTCATGTCAAACAAATTTGCATAGACACATATTTTATGCAAATAGAGGCAAAGATATTTCAATTGGTAATTATGATTGCAATGACGATACAATGACTCGGCCTATTTCAATTAATATGAAATTATTCCCTCGCCACAAGTCTTTTCTTGACATTGGCGAAACACAGAATTTGAAAAATTGTTAAAAAAAAACATTTCTTTTTAATAGCATATATAACCTCGTTGGAAAATACTTAATTCTGGGACAACGCAAAGTGCTCAATGGCAGAGACATAGGTTGTGTAAATATAAAAGTGTTTCATGCTGAAATGTTGTGTCTTGTGTTTTGGATTGACTACTTATATATGCTGGTCAATGGTGCATTATGGGTAGAAGCTTTATTGTATTATCCTAACAGTCATTGGTTGGAAGATAAGGATTATGTTTATAATTATTATATTTGCAATTGCGTAAGGATAATTATGGGTCAGGATACGGTTATTTGTAGCTATTTTGTAGTGTTTTGTTAAATTTCTTAATTTATTATTAATTTTTGATTATTATTTGTTGTTGATTCTTAATATCAGATTTACATATATTCGTCTGTGCCTATATAGCTTGT